TACGGTATTTGTTTTTCTCTTTCTGACTTACTTCACTCTGTATGACAGACTCTAGAAAAAACTAAAAATAGAACTACCATAGGACCCAGCAATCCCACTGCTGGGCATATACCCTGAGAAAACCATAATTCAAAGAGAGCCATGTACCACAATGTTCATTGCAGCTCTATTTACAATAGCCAGGACATGGAAGCAACCTAAGTGTCCATCAACAGACGAATGGATAAAGAAGATGTGGCACATATATGCAATGAAATATTACTCAGCCATAAAAAGAAACAAAATTGAGTTACTTGTAGTGAGGTGGATGGACCTGAGTCAGTTTTTTTAAAATCAGAATGGGAAACAGGATGACAAGATGGATTTTGGATTTGGATAGTAGAATCGGGAGCGTGAAAAAATCAGTTAGATTAGATCTAATCTAAATTTAAGCTTAAGGCAATCCTCTGTGCCTAGAACCAACTGGAGATGCTCCTCAGACTACGATTTCTCACCATAAAATCAATATACATCAACAGAGTCAGAATACATGGCATTGACCCAAGGCTTTCTAATCTGACTGCCCAGAAGTTTTACAAATATTCACTCAATACCTGGATAAAATCAGGTTATGAGTAGATTAGCAAGTCTTATTTCATAGATGCAGAAACTGATAGAGAAAGTTTAAGTGCCTAATCTGAGCAAAACTGGACATAAGACACTAGCATCCGGATCGTTAAACCTAAGTTAGTAGGTTTAAGTAACTAAATTAATTTTAGTTAATTAATTTAATTAATTACAGAATCTAAATCACCAGAGCAGAGTACAACATGGAAAAATCTTGCCCTGTTTAGAATTTCTGAAAGAGAGTTTCAGACTTCACTCCCCCCCACCAAAAAATCTTCATGACCACAAATCTCCCTTAATTCCTATCTTCCAAAAGCCACCTTATGAATCTTGACAGGTGACCATCATCACTGAGGAGGTTCCAACTTTAGATAAACAAACAATAAAAAAACCCCAACAAACAACAACAGCAATAAAACCACAACAGGGCAGGTTGTACATCTCTTACCTTCTATATTTTCATGAAGGAGACAAAGTTTTCATATAGAGTTCACACTCTATTTTCTCTAGACACAGAGATTAAAAATCACAATCCTCACAACACATACTGCAGTTATCCTGCACTTTCTAAGCTTACAACACACAGGCAATGTCCTCACAAGCCATTTCCTGGGCTACACACAGTGACCACTAAGTGAAGGTCAAAGCATGTTCGCTGTATCATCACCAAGGCTCATTCCTACTGCCTGATGGTCGATTTTATTTCTCTGTATATGGCATCTCCTCGCATTCACAGGGGATATTACTAGAGAATGCTGTGGTTTCCGGTTAGCATTTTGCTGACCAGAGTATCTCTTGAATCTTATACCTCTTTTGCTTTTCCTTAACAGCAACAAGGAAGGGACCAGAAAAGGTATACAGAGTTTTTTAAATTTACTGGACAAAGGAAATAAAGTGCAAAGAGAAGCCAAGAAGAGGCAAAGGTGGATGCATAATTAAATGGAGAGAAAGGTGACTCTCTGGAGAGGCTCTGGACAACAGGATACCAGGCCCAGCTGAGGGTTAGAATATTTTTCCCAGAGCATTTCACAGAGATGGCATTTGGAAGGCATACTACGTGCTACAGTATTTCATCTCAATAGTCCATTTAGCCATTTATTTTGTCTCAAACAAAGGTATCAAAAGACCTGATGCAGAAGACTGGGAGAAGATATCTAACAGCCAGAGGCACGGGGCGTAGTGGTGAGACTGTAAGTCAGACAATTCTACATCTGCTACTTACTAACTTACTATTAGTTAGCGTCCATGACTGGGAGACTACCTTGAAATATTGAGGGAAACACAATGTCCTTAAAATGCATGACACACAGTAGGCATTCGACATGTGGCCACTATTATTATTACTGCATAGAATATCCCAAAATAACCCGGAAAATTAGATTTTAATATTATTTGTATTATTATTTCTCTTTGATGAATATAATTTATTATTATGTCAATTACTTGGTATGTAACATATATTTAAATGTATGATTTCTCCACTAATAACATAACCTTTATTTATATTTCTACCTTCAACAACTCAAAGTGCTTCTACATTTATGAATACGTTTACTGTCATAACGTCATGGATTGCCGGGAGGAAGCAGGGTTATGATTTCTATTTTGCAGGTAAATATCCTTAGGCAACAATAAGATAAACAACTTCTTCAAGGTCAGTGTGGTACTTGGGACTCTTCAATCTAGATGTCACAATCCCTTCCCAGCTCGAGTAGAAGTCAAATCTCATTTCTGGGGGCCTTCTTGCTTCCCTCAATTTTTATTTTCTATTTCTGATATTAATTTATGAGGACATGGGGATAGAGCCAAGATTCAACATCAGTTTCCAAGGTTACCTTCTTGTTTTGCTCAGTAAATAGAGATGTTAGAAAGGTACACAAGCCTGGCACCAAACAGCCTTGGGCGATAAGCCCGAGCTTTAATTCAGCAAGGCAGACGATGTCGTCTCCGGTATTCCAGTTCCAGCTGGCGATCTTTGGCAGAAACACCTGTTTCATGGTAGAAAGTAGCAGGAACAGACTTGTGGATACAGAGAACAAACTAGTGGTTACCAGTGAGAAGAGGGAAAGAGGGAGGGGCAAGACAGGCGAAGGGGATTAGGAGATACAAACTACTACGTATAAAGTAAATAAGCAACAAGGACATAGCGTACAGCACGGGGAAATATAGCCATCATTTTGTAATAACTTAAATGCAGTTTAATCTATAAAAATATTGAATCACTACATTGTACACCTGAAACTAATACGATATTGTAAATCAACTGTACTTCAGTAAAAGAAAAGAAAGTCAAATATTAGAAAGAAATATACCTCAAGAAAGTTCCCCGAATTTGCAATCAATTTGTTCGCTTGCTTTACGTTTTTGAAATATAATTAACGTATAACGTTATATGAGTTTCAGGTGTACAACGTTCAATATTTGTATATATTGTCAAATGATGACCACAATAAGTCCAGTTAACATCCATCACTACTGTAATTACAAGGTATTTTTTCTTGTGATGGGAACTTTGAAATTCTATTCCCTTAGCAACATTTAAATATAAAATAAAGTATTATTAACTACAGTCACCATGACTCTTTTATACTAGAAATTTATACCTTTTGTTCCCATTCCCCCATTTTGCCCACCCCCACCTCTGGCAACCACCAACCTGTTCTGTGAATCTATGAGCTCAGGATTTCTTTTTTGCTGTTACTCAACATATGAATGAGATCATATGGTATTTGTTTTTCTCTCTCTGACTCATTTCACTTAGCATTATGCCCTTGAGGTCCACTCGTGTTGTTGCAAATGGCAAGATTTTATTTTTTTTTATACTTTTTGAGAAGACTGTGTATTCTGGTGCTTTTGAATGCAAAGTTCTGTATTTGTCTAAGTCATGAGGTATAATATGTTGTCTAAGGCCAATGTTTCCTTATTGATTTTTTTATCTGGATGATCTATCCATTGAAGAAAGCAGGGTATTAAAGTCCCCAACTATTATTGTATTGCTATTTCTCCATTTAGATTTGTTAACATCTGCTTTATAAATTTAGGTCCTCCTATGCTGGTGTCATAAATATTTACAAATGTTATATCCTCTTGTGGGATTGACCCTTTTGATAATGTAATGCCCTTCTTTTTCTCTTATTACAGTCCTTGTTTTAAAGTCTATTTTGTCTGACATAAGTATCGCTTCCCCAGATTTCTTTTGCTTTCCATTGGCATGGAATCTACTTTTCCATCCCCTCACTTTCAGTCTGTGCGTGTCCTTATATCTAAGTTTCTTGTAGGCAGCGTATAGATGGGTCTTATATTTTTTTTTGTCTATTCAGCCACTCTATGTCTTTTGATTAGAAAAGTTAGTCAATTTATATTTAAAGTAATTATTGGTAAGTATGTATTTACTGCCATTTGTCAAGTGTTTTCTGAAAGTTTTATAATTCCACTGTTCCTTTCTTCTCCTCTTGCTCTCTTCATCTTTGATTTGATGACTTTCTGTAGCAGTATGCTTAGATTCCTTTCTCTTTCTTATTTACTATAAATTTTTGCTTTGTGGTTACCATGAAGCTTGCATAAAACAACCTCCAAGTCTCTTTTAAGTTGACAGTAACTTAAGTTTGATCACATCAAAAGTTCTATATTTTTATCCCCACTACCCAAGTTTTATTTTTGATATTACAATTTACATCTTTCTATTTTATGTATCATTTTACAAATTATTGTAGTTATTTACTACTTTTGTCTTTTAATCTTCATACTAGCTTTGTAAGTGATTAATCCATCACCTTTACAACATTAGAATATTTGGAATTTTACTATATATTTACCTTTACCAATGAGACTTATACTTTCATACATTTACCTTTTACTAATTACCCCTTTCATTACAGCTTAAAGAAGTTCCTTTAACATTTCTTGTAAGGTCTGTCTATTGGTGATGAACTCCTTTAACTTTTGCTTGTCTGGAAACCTCTTTGTCGTTCCTTTGATTCTGAATGACAACTTCGCTGGGTAAAGTATCCTTGGTTGGCAGTTTTTTTCTTTTTCTTTTAGCACTTTGAATATCTTGTGGCACTGCCTTCTGGCCTGCAAAGTTTCTGTTGAAAATCTGCTGATAATCTTATGGGAGTTCCCGTATATGTAACAAGTTGTTTTTCTCTTGCTACTTTAAAAATTCTCTCCTTGTCCTCAACTGTTGACACTTTAATTAGAATGTGCTTGATATGGATCTCTTTGGGTTCCTTTTATTTGGAACTTTCTGGGCTTTGTGGATCTGAATATCTGTTTAGGAAAGTTGACAGCCATTATTTCTTCAAGTCAGTTCTCTACCCATTTCTCTCTCCCTTCTCCTTCTGGGACTCCTATAATGTGAATGTTGGTCCACTTGATATTGTCCCATAAGTCCCTTTAAGCTATCTTCACTCTTTTTCATTCTTTTTTCTTTCTGCTGCTCTGATTATGTGAGGTCTACACTCTCTATCCTATCTTCAGGTTTGCTGATCCCTTCTTCTGCTTCCTCTGGTCTGCTGTTGAACCTCTCTATTATGTTTTTTTTTTTTTTTTGCAGTTCAGTTATTGTATTCCTCAGCACTGTGACTTCTACTTGGAACTTTTTAATATTTTCTCTCTGTCGAAATTTTCACTTTGTTCATCCATTCTTCTCCTGAGCTCAGTGAGCATCTTTATGACTGTTATTTTAAGCTCTCTATCAGAAAAGTAGCTTATATCCTTTTCATTAAGGTCTTTTTCTGAGGTTTTGTCTTGTTCTTTTGTTTGGAATATATTCCTCTGTTTCTTCCTTTTATTTGACTCTCTGTGTTGGTTTCTGTGCATTGGACAAAAAAGCCAACTCTCCCTGTCTTGAATGAGTGGACTTGTGTAGTAGATGAACCTTATTGTTCAACCCTGCCCTAGCCCTTGGCTGTTTTTCAAACCCTTGTCATTGTCCAATCTGCCTACTTTATTTTTAGTGGCTCCCAGTACTTAAGGGTGTGCCAAGACCTGTCCACGGCCCCAAGGGGAGGATCTCAGTCAGCACCTAAATTCAGAATGACTGGACTCCAGGCCATCAGGCAATAGCTTTTAAAGTATGTAAACAAAACTCTTTCCAAATTTACATTTTTATGTAATTAACAATCTTAATGGGGCTCCAAATTTCACCTGCAACTGGCAAAAGCTTTTTGTGTGTAGACTCATTATAAAGTAATAAGTTCATATCTTACTTAGATGAACTACGTTCATTTAGTTCTACAGACTAAAAGGGGAGGAGACAGAACAGGCTATAATGTTACAATACCTTGTTATGGGACTGAAGTATCTGTATGATGATTCTGGTATTAGGGTAATAGCTCTTGATAGAGAGCACCCTACAAAAATAACAAATATGCTCATTAGTGGTGTGCCATATCCAATGTCTTTATAATATAATTCAATTCAAAGTTAAGTCTATGTGTGGGTAAGTACAGGAAAAGAGCACATTATAAAGTTCATTGTTATGATCTTTAATAGCACACACATGGAAGAGTGCTATGGTTTTAGTGACTTAGTAAATTAAATCTATGGAAAGGTAAGCTTTTGGTATTAAGAGTGGTCTTCTGGGAGCAATTCCTGAGGAGGAAATAATCAGTTTCATATATTTTAGTCTTCAAACTCAAACACATTAATTACAGAAAAAAACAGAGACTGAATTGCTATCTATAGCTCAAAGTAGCTAACAGACTGCCTAATCCAACTTCCTTATTTCCTTATTCTTAAGTTCCTTATACAACTTAAGAAACTAAGATCTATCTTATATTTACTGTACGTTACAAGTTCTCAGGCTTCTCTTGCTTTTTGTAGAGTCACCTTCAGCTATGTGTATTTATTTTGCTCTGGGGGCCAACAGTTCATCTGGGTTAGGTACAATGGCATTGCCCTCACAATGACAGTTTGAATCTCTTACCACAAATTGAGTTCCTGCTCATAGATAGTTCACAGTTCAAGATGGTAACACTAACCCTAGCCATCTTGAAAATACTGCCAATAGTCAAAAGCACATCATACTGAACCATGCACAATCTTTCACTAGGACTGCTGGAGAAAAACCCCAGTAAATAAAGTCTACGAATAAGGTTCACAAACCACAAATGCCGTCTTTATTTCTGAGGGGCTGTTAGTCAGAATGGTGCTATCTGAACAGTTATCAGTTATTCGTAGGCTTGCTTTTTAAATTTAGACAGCTATTATCCCTACGGAACTCCAGGAAAGTAAGTGGAGAAGCACACTGACACACAGTAAACTCTATCTTGACTTCCTTTTTCATACATCTGCAGAGTCTCTGGGGCCAAAAAATAAGGCAGAAACCTGGAATATGATGAACCCTGTGCTGTGATACATGACGTCTGTTTAGTTCTATGCATGGGGCTTTATTTTAAAAGAGGCAAAAATAAGATCAGCACTGGAGCATGTAAGACCCAGTGCCAGCTTCTTACCTCATAATGTTTGAAGTGTCTTCAGCATGTGAATCACTGCACAGAGGGTCGGCTATGATCAGGCATGCTTCGGCAGAGGCCACCTATTCTTCAAGATTAAACAGCAGCCACCTTGTTAATTATACATGGGAAATGCTTACGTGTTCCCCTTTGGGGTTTTCTTATGGTTTCATCATACAATTTCCAAAAAGAAAGAGAGCACACTTGGGAAGGACTTGTGATAAGGATGTCTTTACATCAGAATCACAGTCCAGCAAATGCTGAAAGGGGCTGCATAGACGGACCAGAGTCTCCAACACAGATGTAGATTGCTTTAAAATGGAACAAGTGCACAATGATATTTTTCCTATGATCCAGAAATGTCAATTTATGACTAGTGATGAGCAATAAGATCTTTTTAAGCAACTTCCTGTATAGTTATTAACCTTTCAGAATAGCAAAAAAATTATTGAAGTGGCTCTTATAACCCCAAGTTGCAGGAAAGAGAAAGATTATACTGTGTTTGTCAATTTTTGCTTCAATTCTTTGTGTTGACTCTATAGATCTCTGCTTTAAAAAAACTGAACCTTTTGCTCCATATGACTGTGAGAAACCTAAAACATGAGAGGAAGTTGGCCTTCATCTTAAACACAAGATGTCTAGAGGGTTGGCTGTTGCTCATCTCTTTTAGTCTCAGCCTAACTGGGATCTCTGCGATTTTCCTTCATGCCTTTCCTATCAGAGGGCATATCAGTGTGTTTAGGAGAAGCCGGTAAAAGCTGACAGACTCCTAGAAATCTGTCATCTGGTAAGAATCCCACTTGGATAGAAAGATCTAACACACTTCTGCTATCCACAACTTTTTCAGATCTCTTAGACTGATAACATAAAACTGTTCTAGATAGAGAATTTAGTGAAATAAAAAAAATTAATATAAATGTAGGTAAATAGTGAGGTCTGCTTGGTATCTGTCAAGAAGGATTTGGAGGTCAATTACTAACATTTCTTTATGATCAGTTTTTAAAGTTGAAGAAGTCGTATTTCCCCCAATTCAAGAGTCTGGAGTAATCCTTTAGGAAGAGCAGTACACACTATCGTCTTAATTGCTGCAGCTTAGGAAAACGACAAGGAGGAAAAGAACTAGATCTCACCGCAACTCGCCTCAGATCCTCCCACTTCAGTGCAGATCCAGAAACAAAAGTTGTATAGGCCATGTAGCACTTAAATATGGTTTCCAATTCCAAAGAAGGAGGAACCCTGGATAAAGAACATAGTGCCAGATACGGAAAAGGAAGATTGGCTTTGGTTTAGAGACTGTTATATTATTTAGTGCATTTAATAAAAACTCTAATCCTCTCTTGGAAAACATCCATCCTCCATTATTAATCCACGTCCTTAGGTGATGTGGATACCACTAGCCTAATTCCAGAAATGGGTCTGAAGCTCAGGGGCAATCAATCACAGAGACATGAAAAAATACAAATCAGATTAATGCAAAAAAAAAGGGGGGGTAATTACTAAGAACAAAGAAGTTCAGGACCAGTGAAAACATTTCAATTATTCAAAAAGACACAGCATTCTAAAACAACTATGAATTTAATAAAATAGCTTCTAAATACACAAAAAATTTTAACAAAACGAGAGAAATACATGAACCTCCCACTGTAATGACAGATTTCAATGCATCTCTATTACTGACAGATCAAGGAGAAAAAATAATCATCAAGTTTGATATTTATAATTCTGCAAACAATATTTAGGATATCTAATTTAAATTTTTTTCACCTTTACTGAGGCAAAATTGACAGTTAAAATTGTAAGATATTTAGTGTACAACGTGATATTTGATGTATGTATACATTATGAAAGGATCCCTCCCATTATTTAATTAACACATCCATCACCTCACATATTTACCTTTCTGGGGGGGTGATGACATTTAAATTCTACTCTCCTAGCAAATTTCAATTATACAATACAGTGTTATCAACTACAGTCACCATGTTTTACATTAGATCCTCAGACCTTATTCATCTTAAAACTGAAAGTCTGTACTCTTTGTACCAACCTCTCCCTATTTCCCCCAATCCCCAGACCCTGGCAAACCATCTTTCTACTTTCTGTTTCTCTAAGTGTGGCTTTTTAAAAAAATTCCAGATATAAGTGACACCATGCATTTGTCTTTCTCTCTCTGGCTTATTTCACCAGCTTATAATGCCTGCCAGGTTCATCCATGTTGTTGCAAGTGACAGGACTTCCTTCCTTTTTTAGGGCTGAATGATATTTCATATCATTCAAATATATATACATATATATATATATACCACATCTTTATTCATTCATCCATAGATGGAAACTTAGGTTGTTTCCATATAATGGCTATTGTGAATAATTTTAATTTTCCTCAACAGCACACAAATATTTACCAAAATGATAATTTACTTGACTAATAAGGAAAGCCTCAACACACTGCAAAAAAAAAAGCTGCTGTACATATAATGACCTCTGATCACAGTACAATTAAAGTAAAAGTTAATAACAAAAAAATTAAAAAATATTCATCATAGTTGGAAATTTTGAAAAACAGACTGCTAAAAATCTCATGAGCTATGAAGAAATTATAATGAAATGTATAAAATTCTTAGAAATTAATTATGTGAAAACACTAAATATCTAAGTCTTTGGATACAATAAAAGCCTGCTTTAGGGGAAAGTTATAGCTTTGGACATTAATATTGGAATAAACCCAAAGAAATAAGAAGAAAAGAGACAATAAACACAAGAGTGCAAACAGTGAAATAGAAAAGAAAAATAAAAGAGAGAAGATGAACAAAGACAAAGGCTGGTTCTTTGAAAAAAAAATCACTCATATAATAGGCAAAGCTGTAGTAAAATTGATGGAGAAAAAGAGAAGACAAAAATGACTCATAATATTGAAAGAAGATAAAAATACCTACACGCAAAGTAGAGATTAAAAACTCTCAAAACTAAACAAAAACGAACAAAACACATACATAGACCCACACACTAAACACAATTTTTAAAACCACCAGTTCTAAATGGTTTAGCAGGCAACTTCTACCACACTTTCAAGCAACAAATAATCCCATTTTTATACAAAGTCTTTCAAACACCTTAAAAATAGAGAATGGTCCCCAACAAATACTACAAAGCCAAAATAACCATTATAGCAAAACTATTAATTTAACTCATCACATTAACAAATTAAAACTGACACAGCCACCTCAGATGCACAGAAAAAGTTGATTAAAATATCTTTTCACAGTTAAGAAATAAAACTCATGGTATATTAGGAAGAGAAAAGAATATCCTTAACCAAATAAAGAGTATCTTTAAAATAAAAAGGATGGCCTTAGTGGGAAAATATTAGAAAAGTTTTCTTTAAAATGAGAAATGAAGAAGAGATACAACTATTGCTTTTTTCTCAACATTATATTTGATGTCTTAGCAAGAGCAATAAGAAAATAAAGATACACTGTACACGTAAGGGTTAGAAAGGAAGAAATAAACTCTCTTTATCTGAACTAATAAGATTATCTACATAGAAACCCCTAAACACTACAGAAAAATAAATAGAGGCTAATTTAACAATATGGATGAATGGGAGATTAATACACAAAGGTCAATTCTGGATTTTCATACCAAAAGCAAACAAGTAGAAAATACAATAAGACACTATTTCAAATATATCAGAAAATATCAAGTACTTATAAATATATATGTCACATATATTTATTACATATACACATATGTAAAATTACATAATATATAATAAACATCAGCAAGCCTGGGAAATTATACAATATTATTGAGACACTAAGTGAGATCTAAATAAGTAGACAACCATAGTATAGTCAGAGTTAGAAAGAATTTGTAACACAAAAAATCAATTTTAAACCAAAGTTTCAATTAGATTCCTCCCATCAATTTCCACAGGGTTTTTCATAGTTCATGATAAAATGATTATAAAATTTATATGAAAGATAAAGGGCCAAGAAGAGCTTGTCAACTATTGGAAAAAGAAGAGCACGGAGGGAAAACCTGCCCTAAGATGTATAAGGATTAATTATGAATCTTTAGCAATTAAAAAAGCATAGTATTAATGCAGTAAGAGATAAATTGATTAAAAAAAACACAGAATAGCCCTATTTATGCTGGTAGCATGTCAGATCAGTGAGGGGAAAAGGGTTTATTCAATAACTAGCATTGATAAAATGGTTATCTATGGAAGAAGCTGAAGTTTTATTCATGCGTCACGCCATAAAAAAACAAATTCCAGTATAATTAGAGATTTAAACATCAACAAAAATGAAAAATTCTTAATAGGAAATGTAATTAAATATCTTTAAAATATTGGGATATGGAAAAATTCCTACACAAAAACCAAAAAAATCATTAAATACAATTGAAATGATTGAAAATTTGAACTATGATAATATTAAAAACTTTTGAATATCAAAATACTTCTCATACTCAGTGAAAAGACAAGTTATAAACTGGAAAAATATAGTTACAGTTCAGATCACTGATGAACAGTTAGTGTCAAGAATACATTAAGCACTCCTAGAAATTAAATAAGAAAAGCCCCACAAACAATCCAATAGAAAAACAGGTAAAATGCATGAACAGGCTTTTCACGCAAAGAGGAAACATGTATGGCTAATAAACATGAAGAGAAACTCCATACTTAGTGATAAGAGGCTTATAAATCAAAACCACGATGAGATTCCACTTTACACTGATTCCACTGCAAAGATTAACAAGTATGACCATGCCAGCTGTTAGAAAGAATGTAGATGTACAACTACACAAAGTCCCTTACAGATTGCTGATAAGCTTGAAAAACGGTGCAACCACTAGTAAAAAATGATACTGTCTCTTAAAAATGAACATTCACATTCTTCACACCATTAAACCACCCTCCCCCCACACACACATACACAGACACTCTTGCACAGGTCCACTAAGAGCCATACATAAGCCATGTTAATAATAAAATTATTTCCAATAGAAAAATCTAGAAACAATGCAAATCACACCAAGAGTGGATAAACTAAGGTTTACTCTGCCAATGAAATATCATATAACAGTAAACAATTAACTACAGCAACACTCAGAAAAATGAGTGTATCTTAGAAATATAAAATGAGGAAAATCTAAGTACCACAAGATTCCATTGGTGTGATCTTCCTTCTGTAAAGTTAAACACAGCTAAACATTTTAAGACTGTACATAATTGCAATAAAACTGCAGGAGAGATAAAGAATGATGATGATGTACAAAACAACTGAGAGCAGTATGAAATGTGGGTAGGATCATATAGTTAGATACGGGTTCTGTCTTAAATTTTGTCTCGATGGTGAGTTCATGTACTGGTACTTAGAGCATTATTAAAAACAGCTACTTACAAAAACAAACAACCAAAATGTGCTTATGTATAAGTCAAGTACAAAGGTTGTTGTAAGAATTACGATAAATCCAATTCTAATTTCCCAACACTAAAGAAGAAAACTAAATCTAGTTATGTCATCCCTCTGCTGAAAATCCTCCAAGAATTCAGGACTGACTCGGAGAAAAGGCAACTTCCTTAAAGCCAAATCCTTATAATAGACTATACAATACTTTTGTTATCTGGCCCACTATCAACGGCAATATTTGGAAATTCTCTGAATTTGTCAATCCTCTTGAGTAAAACTTCCCCTATTCCCTTAAAACATATGTGAACAAGTGAGAGCTTTGCATGTTTTCATATATTAAACATCACTAGAGCTGGGGCCTTTGTTTTCAGGCATAGTAAACTAGATAATTTCAGCCAACCTTCTACTAAGGATATATAAAAATGCTGGATGAAATATAAAAACATCTAATAAATCATGAAAGATATAACCAGACCGTGAAGAATTTCCAGGCCAAAATCTAGAAGAAATCAAGGCCTTAGAGGTTAAGTCCAGTCCCCCCACCCCACAAAGCATTTAGTAATTCAGAAGGTACAGCTACCAAACTGAGCTAACATTCTGGTGATGTCATAGGGTAAGGGGTCCAAAAACTTCCAGCTCCCCTGACACACAAAATGAAGACTTTAGTAACTTCTCCAAATTTTAACCTGGCATAACAAAGGTATGCAGGCATAGATGAAGTGTAAAATTGAATAAATTAGTTTTCAGATGTACTTTCATTCTGAGTTTGTCACCTGGGTAGTACAGTGAACATCAAGCGTTGAATTTGGATTTACGTGG